TTGTGTGGGGAGGGGGTCTCTATGTGTGGGGAGGGGGTGGGCTGTGTGTGCGGAGTGGAGGGCTGTATGTGTGCGAAGGAGGGCTGTGTGTGCGTGGAGGGAAACTGTATGTGTGGGGAGTGGGGCTGTACGTGTGGGGAGGGGGACTGTTTGTGTGGGAGGGGGGCTGTATGTGTGGGGAGCAGGGCTGTGTGTGTGGTGAGGGGGCTGTATGGGGGGGGGGCTGTAGGTGTGGGAGGGTTGGCTGTATGTTTGAGGAGGTGGGCTGTAGGTGTGGAGGGGGGGGGCTGTATGTCTGGGGGGGGGGCTGTATGAGTTGGGAGGGGGGCTGTATGTCTGGGGAGCGGGGGCAGTATGTGTGGGAGGGGGGCCGTATGTGTGGGGAGGGGGGCTGTATTTGTGGCAAGGGGGGACTGTGTGTGTGGGGAGGAGGCTGTGTGTGGGGGGAGGGGGGCTGAATGTCTGGGGAGGTGGGACTGTATGTTTGGGGATGGGGCTGTATGGGGGGCGGGGCTGTATGTGTGGGGGGGGGGGCGCTGTATGTCTGGGAGGGGGGGGCTGTATGTGTGGGGGGGGGGGGCTGTATGTGTGGGGAGGGGTGGCTGTATGTGTGGGGAGGTGGGCTGTATGTGTGGAAAGTAGGGGCTGTTTGTGTGGGGAGGTGGGACTGTATGTGAGGGGAGGGGGCTGTATGTGTGGGAAGCGGGGACTGTGTGTGTGGGGAGGAGGCTGTGTGTGTGGGGGGGCTGTGTGTGTGGGAATGGTGGCTCTGTGTGTGGGGAGGGGCCCTGTATGTGTATGGAGGGGTGGCTGTGTGTGTGGGCAGGGGGCTGTTTATGTGGGGGTGGCGGCTGTATGGGGGAGGGGAGCTGTCGGTGTGGTCAGGGGGGTTGTATGTGTGTGGTGGGGCGCTGTCTGTGGTGACAGTGTACTTTTGGCGAGGTTACTTGTGTGTGTGTGTTTGGGAGGGGGTTGTGTGTGGTGAGGGGACTGTGTGTGTGGGGAGTGGGATGTTTGTGTGGGGGTGGGGGGGGGCGCAGTGTGTGTGTGTGGTGAGGGGGTTTGTGTGTGAGCCTTCTGTGTGTGTGTGATGGGCGCGACTGTGTCGTGGTGTGGGCGACCGTGTGTTTGTGTGGGTGGGTAGTCCTGTGTGTGGGAGCGCGGGTGCATTGTGTCCTGTGTGTGGGGGCGCATACATGGAGGGTCTGTGTGTGTATGAAGCCGCTCAGCCCAGTCAGTCTGAATCAGATCCCCACCCAACCCGCATTCAAATGGGTTAAATAACTGACCCCAACAGCAGAACAGTATAGAGTGTAAAATGGTCGGCTTCACAGCGAACAACAACAACAACATATTGATCCGCTGCTCATGAACTTATCTTTTAAACTACAAACAGCCCCTATTCCGCTGGAATTAAACCACTAAACATATCTGATTCTGATGGTAATAACCGGGGAGAGAAGGTGCCTTCAGACCTATAATACACTGTAATATGTAATACACTGTGAAGTGATGTGAGCGCCGACAGTGGAGGCCATGACTGGTGTCAGTGGGGACACACGGGCTCTCATTTCTCGTGTGTGAGGTTCCCTGGTGACAGCCTGACATGTGCACAACAGCCACGCGTGTGTGAGGTCCCCTGGTGACAGCCTGACATGTGCACAACAGCCACGCGTGTGTGAGGTCCGGCAGGAGATGGCAGTTCCCCAACACATGGTCAGGAGAGAAGGGGAAAAGGTGTCGCACTGGTGTATTCACTGTGAGTCGCTGGTGTTGGATCGAGTGGATCTCCGCTGCACATCAAACACTAGTTATTTCCTTCACTTCTCACAGCAGCTTCTCATGTGGGGCTGCGAACAGCACCGGGTCCTGGAAAAGTTTCCCACAGGAACAGAGTCTTTCACAGCATTTGCAGTGTTCCGTGTGTTGGGAGTTCGCAAAACACTTCCCACATTCCGCTCATTTATACGGTTTCTATCTTGTCGGTATCCGCTGGTGACTGCGGAGTGTCACTGAATATGTGAAACTCTTCCCACATTGGGAACAGTTATACGGTTTCTCTCCTGTGTGTATTCGCTGGTGTTTTTGGAGTGTTCCTGACTCTGTGAAACTCTTCCCGCATTCATTACATTCATACGATTTCTCTCCTGTGTCTATCCGCTGGTGTTTGTGGAGATCCCCTGAATGAGCAAAACTCTTCCCGCATTCGTTATGGTTATGCAGTTTCTCTCCTGTGTGTATTCTCGGGTGAAGGTGGAGAGTCCCCGAACGTGTGAAACTCTTCCCACATTGGGAACATTTATGGGGTTTCTCTCCTGAGATGGATCGCTGGTGACTCTGCACAGATCCGGGTGTAAACCCCTTTTCTCCGACAGCATCAGTGATAGATCCCGGAGACTCTCTCTCTGGGGTATGGAGAGGGGGGGAGAGTGGCAAGCGGGAGGGTCGAAAGTGGGCGGAGTGGAGGGGGGGGGGGGTGAGAGGGGTCGGAGAGGGAGGGGCGAGGGTTGGTGGGAGAAATAATATTAATATAACAAAAAGGGGTTTAAACCTCACGAATAAACCTCCTCTCCCCCCTTCAATTGAGTGGACGACCTCGCTTTAATGCACAAATTCGGTCTACAGACTGAAATCCTCCTCCGGCCCCGCCAAACTCTGTCTCCTGATTGCAGCAGAGCCACCAGCGGCTGATTGACAGAGAGAGAGAGTGAGAGAGAAGGAAAGAGGGAGTGAGTGTGAGAGAAAGAGAGAGATTTAAGACGTCGCGTGATTTTTTTTAACCGCGAAAAATCATTGAAATGAAGATTATTCCGGGATTATGAGTGGTCACCGGGGAGGTGCCGGGTCTCCAGTGATTGCGAATGGTTCGTGTGAGAGGGAGAGAGTGTGTGGAAGAGCACAGGAGTGTCACTGTGTCAATAAGTGAGGAGAGTGGGAAGAGAGAGGGATTGAGCGATGGGAGAGAGGGAGTGTGTGAGAGGATGGAGAGAATGATGGAGAGAGTGTGACAGAATGTGTGGGAGAGGCGGGGAGAGAGCGATCGTAACGGAGTGAGGACAGAGTGTCTGACGGTGCGAGAGAGCAGGAGGGAGAGGGGGAGTGAAGGAGGAATAAAGAGAAAGAGAGAGAGCAGAAACAGAGAGAGAGGTGAAGTGAGGACAGTGTTTCTTGCTTCACTGTCAGGACAGACTATCGGAGCCCCATTGGCCGCCGCGGGGGCTGGGCGCGAGGTCAGATGCCGTGAAATATGTCGTGCAGTTTCCTCACAGAAAACTCCCCCTTTCCCCAGTGAGAGACTGCTCTAAGCCCATCATTTCCCTCCTCCCAACTTACCCGCGCGACCTCCATAACCGGCCATTCCCTTTGCGCAGGAAACACAGCTCCTTCATGTCACCCCCACCCCATCTGCCCCAACAGCACCATTTTGCTCCCATTGCCCGGAGCTCCATTCCCAGTGTCCGTTTGACTCGCCCCCTCCCTCCACTCTTTCAAAGCACATCAAGACCTATCTCTCTGACTGTATTTCCAGTTATCTCCCCCCTCGCCGCCTCTCTCGGCTCCCACCCCCCGCTCGGGTGTCCAGCTGGCAGTGCTGATCGCCTCCAGACCTCCCCCTGACGTGAAAAGGGTTCGGTGTCAAAGTTGTTATGTTTTTGAAAACAAAACACAAACATATTGCTTATGCCCCACTCCCCCCCCACCTACCCCGCTCCTCCCGATACAGAGTAAAGCTCCCTCTGCTCTTCACATCTCGATCCATCTCTTGTCCCGCTCCCTTGGCCTATCGGAACATACTGTTGGGCAATAACCCTTCTGTCCTGTTTTATATATCGCTATAAATTCACCTCACATTCATCTGTGTTTGGGAACAAAGGTTTATCTTTACGTCCCTCACATGAGAAAATGAGAGAATAAAAATGTATGAAAACGGCAATTGATTCCGTGCCGATGGCTTTAATATTAGCCATAGTTCATTGTTACATTACTGTAAACGTCGACAGTGCCTCAGCCGTATGGTAAAGGAGTGATAAATACACTGATTAATATCCCTGTTCCACAACCCTCAACTCCACCACCAACATCCCCTCCCACCCATCCCCCTTACCCCCATCCCTCAATCCCACACACCCCCCAACCAGCGCGCACACACAGATGCCCTCTTCACACACTTCAGCCACCACCCCACATACAAATCCCCTCCGCACACACGCACACAGCCCACAGACACACACATAGTACACACACACACACAAACACAGCCGCCCCCCACCACCACTCCAACCAGCACAGCAATGAAAAGGAAATATTTTGATTAACATCAACAGCGAAAAAAAAAACTGGTTGGTAAAAAAAAACTATAAGCACTCCCCATTCTGCTGGTAACAAACCAGGGGACGAGGTGCTTTTGACCAAAAATATATACTTCAGCGATGTGAGCTCCGATACTGGAAGCCACAGCTGGTTTCAGAGGGCTCATATCTCACCGCGCCATTCTGTTATTCTCTCCCGCAGCCACACACCTCGGTGATAGCCGGACATGGGCTCTTTCCACATTCAGCACATTCGTAAGGTCTCTCTAACAGTTTGTGAGGACCTTCAGGAAATGCTGGTTCCTCAGCACATGTTCAGGAGAGAAGGGGACAGACTATCGCACTGGTGTCTTAACTGAGTCAATGGTGTTGGATCAAACAGATATCTGTCCTGTGATACATCAAACTATTATTGTTATTCTATGCATTTGTCAAAGCAGCTTCTCGTACGTACTTTGAACTGTATCGACTCCTGGAAAGCTTTCCGCTGGTAAAGAACATTTTTTTTCTGATACGACACCGCAAAATTATTCCCACATTCGGCATAATTATACAGTCTCTCCTGTGTATATCTGCTGGTGAGTTTGGAGGTGCTATTTCCTTGAAAATTTATTTTCACATTCAGTAGAGTTATATGGTCTGTTTCCGCTGTATGATCGCTGGTGTCTCTGGAGATAACTTGGCCTTTTAAAACTCTCCACATTCAACACATCTTTACGGTTTCTCTCCCGTGTGTGATTGTCGGTGTCCCTGGAGGTCTCCTGACTTTGTGAAACTCTTTCCACATTCAACATATTTGTGTAGCCTCTCCCCGGTGTGTGATCGCTGGTGTCTCTGGAGACTGTCTGCCCTTGTGAAACGCTTTCCACATCCTGCACATTTATACGGTTTCTCTCCTGTGTGTGATCGCTGGTGTGTCTGGAGTTTCCCTGACGTTGTGAAACACTTTCCACATTGAACACATTTATAAGGTTTCTCTCCTGTGTGTGATCGCTGGTGTGTCTGGAGATTCCCTGACGTTGTGAAACGCTTTCCACATTGAACACATTTATAAGCTTTCTCTCCTGTGTGTGATCGCTGGTGTGTCTGGAGATTCCCTGACGTTGTGAAACGCTTTCCACATTGAACACATTTATAAGGTTTCTCTCCTGTGTGTGATTGTCGGTGTCTCTGTAGATAACCTGACGTTGTGAAATGCTTTCCACATTCTGCACATTTATACGGTTTCTCTCCTGTGTGTGACTGTCGGTGTATCTGGAGATAAGGCAACGTTGTGAAACGCTTTCCACATTGAACACATTTGTGTGGCCTCTCCGCTGTGTGTGATCGATGATGTCCCTGCAGATTACTCGAGGTTAAAAAACTCTTTCCACACTCAGCACATTTATATGGTCTCTCTCCAGTGTGTGATCGATGGTGTATTTTGAGAGATCCGGAAGCAGTGAAACTCTTTCCACACTCAGCACATTTATACGGTCTCTCTCCAGTGTGTGATCGATGGTGTATTTTGAGCGATCCTGAAGCTCTGAAACTCTTTCCACATTCTGCACATTTATATGGTTTCTCTCCTGTGTGTGATCGATGATGTCCCTGGAGTTTACTCGAGGATAAAAAACTCTTTCCACACTCAGCACATTTATATGGTCTCTCTCCAGTGTGTGATCGATGGTGTATTTTGAGAGATCCGGAAGCAATGAAACTCTTTCCACACTCAGCACATTTATACGGTCTCTCTCCAGTGTGTGATCGATGGTGTATTTTGAGCGATCCTGATGCTCTGAAACTCTTTCCACATTCTGCACATTTATATGGTTTCTCTCCTGTGTGTGATCGATGGTGAACCTGGAGATTACTCGAGGTTAAAAAACTCTTTCCACACTCAGCACATTTATATGGTCTCTCTCCAGTGTGTGATCGATGGTGAACCTGGAGATAACACGACGTTGTGAAACTCTTTCCACATTCAGCACATTTATATGGTTTCTCTCCTGTGTGTGATCGATGGTGAACCTGGAGATAAAACGTCGTTGTGAAACGCTTTCCACATTCAGCACATTTATACGGTTTCTCTCCTGTGTGTGATTGCTGGTGTCTCTGGAGTTCTCCCGATGTTGTAAAACTCTTTCCACACTGAACACATTCATATGGCCTCTCTCCTGTGTGATACCGATAGTGTATCTGGAGATAAGCTAACGTTGCAAAACTCTTTCCACATTCTGCACATTTATATGGCCTCTCTCCTGTGTGAGATCGATGGTGTATCTGCAGACTGCCCGATCCTGTGAAGCTCTTCCCACATTCCACACATTTATACGGACGCTTTTCTCGGAGTGATTGCTGGTGTATCTTGAGGTGCCCTGAATGTATGAAATTCTCACCACATCGGGAACATTTATACAGTCTATCTCCTGAGATCGATTGCTTGTGACCCTGTAGAGATCCTGTTTGCGAGACTCGGTTTTCTTCAACATGAAATACGATAGATTCCTGACACTCTCTCTGCTGCAAAGCATCATTTGCGCTACAAGCAGTCTGCGTTGTTGATGTGTCTTTATGGAACTCGGGATGTCTTCTGTTGTGTTCCTGGAGGAACTCGGCACAACTCAACACAACGTTGGCATGAGGCCAGGGATGAGACTCAGAATCACCTACTTTGGCTGCTGATGGGAGAAAAGAAAGATCTGGATAAGCAATATATGGGCTTTCTGTACGAATTGCTCAGGAGCAAATTTCGATTGAATCCTTGCATTTGTACAGCACCTGGTGATGTCAATGATTTACATTATTTACTGCGAACTGTACGGTCAGTAGCAGCTTACATTTATATACCGCCCTTCATGCTGGTCACTTATTGACAGTGTCAGTTTATGATGGCAACAACTACCCACAAACAGCCGTGAGGCGTCTCCGTGATTAGTGTAGTTGACCACGGTCTGGGACACAGGGAGATACTTATATTAATGCGGGAAATGCTTTCCATTGTAGGAGGTGCTGTGCTTCAGATGAAATGTTATAATGAGCTCCCGGCCATGTCTGTTCAGGTGGACAGTAAAGATCCCATGACATGTTTCCAAAAGAGAAGCGAGTTTCTCTGTGTTCCACCACACCATTAAAGGATCTTTACTATGTGTCTGGAGAGGCGCAGAGTGACTTTAGCTTAAAAGCTCGGGTTGTATGGCAGTGCATCGCGGGTTGGTGGGCAGGATTAGGGTGCGGGGCTCTACGGAGGATGCCATTTTGACGTTTCCCGCCTGAACCAACCAATGGTCAAAATCCACTGCGTGATGTCACTTCGCGGCCTCATATTTCAAACGCACAGACTAAATCTTCAATGAGCATTTTCCTCAATCGCCTTCCTATCCCTTCTCACGGCTCGCCTTCCCATCTGTATCCCTATCGCTCCCTCAAAACCTCTTTAATCCGGACTTCATTGTCTTTCCAATTAAGAGCCGTGTACCCAACCCCATATTGACCACCTGCACTGCTCTCTCCTCAGTCCCCATAGCCCTTCCCATCCCCCACAGCAGTGGAAAAGCTGACCATCTCTGCTGACAGCGCTTGGTTGCCGTTTCTGACCTGAGTCGCCATTCCCCAGCCCTGTCAACTGAGCTGCATTAAAACCAGGGCACCGGAGAGAGACGGCACCCCTGACAGGGCATCGTTCCCCACCCCACCCCCAGCTCTGTGCTGCAGTGTCAGCGCAGACTGTCAGCTCTTTGCCCGCGTTGTGGGGCTCAAGCCCACAATCTTCTGACTCGGAGTCAAGAGCACACCAACTGAGCCCGGCTGCCATCTGCCCGATTCTGCACTCGAGCATTTGATGCTGAGAAACTCAGATTGATTTTTCACTCACACAGGTAATCATCGTCTGGAAGATCCCTTTCCTCAGTGTAATCTCTTCTTTCCCTCTTTCTCAAATCGTATCTGCTGCTCCCGTACTCTCCTCCGCTCACTCGGTTGCGTTTGGAGCTGAACCCATTTGCGATTTGATCTGCTGTAGAGAAATGTTTTTTAAAACAGAAGCACACGAACATTACATTTGCAAAGCGGTTTTCAAGTGAGGAGGACGTCCCAAGGCACTGAACCGTCGTGGATAAGGACCCGAGCCTTGGGGTGGCGTGGTTCTGCGTGGGTTAGGGTGGGACGAGAGCGAGCAAAAAGGGTAGGATTGGGGACTAAAGGCACAGTCGAATAGGAAGTTCTTGAGTCGTGCCCTCAAGGAGGCGGAGAGAGAGTGAGGCGAAGGGATTGTGGAATGGAATCCCTTAGGGGCTGATTTGAGGAACATAGTGAACAGAGACCTGAGATCTCTCACAGCCTTAGTCTAAGAGACTGGAGCTGTGTGGACAGGAAATAATATTGTCCATAGCACAGCAGTCAGCGCGCTCACCTCGCAAACAGGTCTGGGTCCCATTCCCGTTTATTTACACGTCTATTTACACGTTGTGGAGACCTGCAGCTCTGTGATTAGAGCACTCGCTTTGCAAGTGAGAGACCTGAGTTCAATTCCAGGCAGGTCAGGGCGAAACCTTGGGCAAGTTTCCTTACTCCACACAGAGCCTAATAATAATCCCTCCAAAAACCAAAAACAATCATAAATTGGTTATTTTCAATCTACGACTGTTTGTGGGACATTGCAGTGCGCAATTGGCTGCCGCGTTCGCCCACAAATATACAGTCAATTCACTTTACAGTGTGTTCTGTGAAGCGCTTTGGGACGTCCTCCCGACGTGAAAAGCGCTATATCAAATGCAAGAATTATTATTATTATTTTTATTTATACCACAGGCCTCCGATAACCTAAGTTATAAGTAGGAACGCGGTTATAATAAAATAGTAATAATCACTGTATTTGATATAGTGTTTTTCTCGTCTTCTTGACATCTCAAAGTGCTTCACAGAATCGACTGTAAAGTGAATTGACTGTATATTTGTGGGCGAAACGCGGCAGCCAATTGCTCACAGCAGTGTCTGTCCCACAAACAGTCGTGGGTTTAAAATGACCAATTTATTATTGTTTTATATTGGAGGGATTATCTGTTTACCACACAGGTAATTTTTTTTAAACTCTCTTGTGTTTGCTATTTGAGACATTTTAAACAGTGGATTTTTAGGCACTAATTATGAAATCTTCAGAAAAAATTACAGAAAGTACGTTACTGGTTGAATTAGTTTTCAAAAAATAAGATGTTTTCAATAGTCAAAGACAATGTTAAGATATAATCATTGCCAGAGCACGTTCAATGTGCTAATAAAGACTATAATTACATATTTATATTTTATTAACTCTGTAATTCAGCATGTAGAAATCAAAGCTTCAAGGTGTTTGGCATCGATCCAACCGAGACTAGAAAAATGAAAAGTTTCCGTCCCCTCTGCCAAGATTGAGACTGAATTTCTTCTCTGGTGTATTGATGTCACTTAACTATTGACAAGCGATATGTGGTAGTGATTGATGTATCCTCTGTACTAATCCACCTGGATTCAAACCGAACACTACAACTTGCACTTATATAGCGCCCTCCGTGCAGGATAGCGTCTCAGAGCACAATCAAAAGGAAAGGCATCATTCAGACCTTCCTCACAGACTACTTACACGTAAATGAGTACAAATCATGTTTTGAGAAATGTCATTAAATAAAACCGAAATCCCTGAGAAAGACGTTTCTAATGAAAAAAAACTAACTGCACTCTGCATCTTAGGCGTTTCACCCACAAAACACCAAATGCACTTTACAATATATTCTGTGCAGCGTTTTGAGATATCTAATTGCTGTGATGAGGCGCATTAGCAAATTGGAGGATTATAATGAAATATCACTATATATTATTAATACATTAAACTCAACAGTGCAGTAAAATCCAACTTCATTTCACAAGTCAATAGCCAATGCATCAAAGTAAACGTGTTGTTTCAACAATATCTTCAGCAAATAAAGTAGTGACGAAGGTACCGAGAAATTGAGAGGCGATTACTTACCTTTCCCAGAGGTAGTTCCACACTCCATGTCGCTCCCTTCGGTTTTCTCAGACATTCTCCCCTGCCTTGTGTTGGCAGCTCATATTTATATCTGATTAGTTTCTTTGTGTGAAGCCAATAATACAGCCGTATTCCCTTCACGTTTAAAGGTAATTGGCTGATAGTATAGCAGTTGGTTTTCTGGCAGTTTTCAAAGCCAATGTCGTCTTCATGTGATTGAGCCAAATTCACAGCTTTTGTCCACTTCTGGGTATTTCGATAGGGTGAGAGTTGGATACTGCGAAAGGGAGGGGGAGCGGAGAGAAAGGCAGGGAAATGGAATAAAGTATCTGAATCATCAGCAGTCTGGGTGATAATAACAATAATTATCATTGTATTTGATTCAGCGCTTTTTAATTCTTTGGGCCGTGAAAATATATTCACCGTGTATCTGTGGGTGAAACGCGGCAGCCAAGTGCGCACAGCAGTGTCCCACAGAGGGTGGTGGATTGAAAATGACCAATTTATTATTGTATTGTTCTGGAGGGATTATTATTAGACGTGTGGAGTAGGGAAACTTGCCCGAGGGTTTCCTCTGCCTGGAATTGATCCCAGGTGTCTCGCTCGCAAGGCGAGTGCTCTATCCACTGAGCAACAGGACCCCAAGATCCAAAGGATATTTTCCTGTAACTGCGGTACCGAATGTCTGATATCCTTAAACACAAGTTCCATTTTGTAAAGCAGTGTTTATTTTCACATCCCGATTGCCCTCCCCGAGGAGCACAGTCACCAGATGGCCGTTCTACATCCGACAAATACGGGATTGAGCCTCACTATCTGGGCAGTAGGTACAAGGAATTCCCTGCGGTTTTCCAGGTGGGCAACAAATCTCAGCACCACATGTATCAGATAACATTTGCACCTATTGAAGACGCCCATTGCAGGCTCTGAGCTGCTTAATTTCCCTCCCCACACCCCACCACCACAGATAGATTTCCCCCTCCCCTCCGCCGAGGGGACTAATGTGGAGGACTGTCAGTCAGGGTCCGCGAGAGGGAAACTCACTTGTCTTTTCCATTCACGTCACGAGATATGTCAATTCCCTCTCAGATATGAGCGAAGCTGTCCAGCCCAGGAGCAGAGGGTCAGGTTACTGCCGGCAAACTCCTGGGGCCTTTGTTTAATGTGGCGTTCAATACCTACAATTTACGTCAAATTAAACCGCACATTAAATCTCCCTTTGTTTAGTGTGGCGTTCAATAACTACAATTAACATCAAATTAGACCGCGCATTAAATGTCCCTTTGTTTAATGTGGCGCTCAATACCCACAATTCACATCAAATTAAACCGCACATTAAATGTCCTTTTGTTTACTGTGGCGCTCAATACCCACAATTTACATCAAATTAAACCGCACATTAAATGGCCCTTTTTTTAATGTGCAGTTGGATAGATACGATTTGCAACTATTGAAACTGCGCATTAAAAGTGTCTCTCTTTAATGTGCAGTTAATGTCCCCCCTCTCCGACCACTCCGACCCCCACGACCTCCTCACTCACCAATCCACCACTCGGCACCTCCGCTCGTCTGGCACCGGCCTCCAGCTTGTCCCCCCCCCGCCATCCGTCCATCACTGGCGGTCGCCCATTCAGCCACTGACACCCGAGAATCCTGAACTCTCTCCCTCAATCTTCCCGCATTCACCCCTTTCCCCCTTTTCAAGTCCCGCCTGAAACCAACCGTGTCACCTCCCACCCTCCCCGGATCGGCCAAACTCCTCCACGGTTAAGTGAAATGAAGACTTTCCTCTGTGCAAACTATCAGCCATATTGGTTTAAAATGACAGTAAATCCTGAGAGAGATTTGAGACGGCGGCCCAATGTCAAGGCTTAATCAAAACTACAAGCTTTATTGTACAGTTACACAGATTATAAAAGGTTACACGGAAAATACACATTTTGCTAAACACATTGAAATGGGGATCAGGCGCTGAGATTGACACACAGATAAAAAGAGATTGTCACACTGTGCTGCCGCACACTGGGTGTCAGGGCCCTCTGATGCTGCGGCTGATGTCAATGAGGATCATTAGCTGTTGCTGTGCTGTCTGGTGGCTACAGGGGCTCAGTGTTGGCACTGAATGTCAGGCCGTGTCGTGGCCACTCAGTGACGATCGGCACAGACGGCCTTCCCTGAACGGGACACAATGTGGAGCTGAGGTCACTCGGCCCCGACCTTGACTTCCCGTCACAACCTCCGCTCCAACCTGAGCACCGCCACCGCCTCCAACCATCGGCCCTATCAGTGAGGGGTCAATGACATTGTGGGACCCACTCCAACCTGAGCACCGGCACTGCCACCAACCCTCGGCACCATCAGTGAGGGGGCAGTGACCGTGTGGGACCCACTCCCGAGGGACACAGACGCTCGAGCTGAAAGAGTTGTTTGCTTCAAATACAAGTTAGATAAATATCTGTTAGGATAATATTAACTAGGGATACAACAAAAACAACATTAGATTTCTGAAGCGCATTTCATATC